AGTTCTCACCTTCTACTGTGTCTCACTTGTCCTCGTCATTGTTGTGCTGTGACATCCAGGCCTGAAAATTCAAATAGATGCTCCAGTTTTCTGCCCTTTGTCACCACGAATGAGTGCTGCGGCTAAAGATGCGTGCCGTCCTATCTGTTTTTTTATGTGGGATCTGAAGATCAAACTTGGATCTTCAGCCTCATCCTTTACCCACTGAGCCATCTCTCAACTCCACATCATTCTCTGTATAACACAGTTGTGCGCGCACGCACGCGCACACACACACACGTATGTCCGTGTTTCTGAGAAACACTAGAGAAGATATATTTTGTCACAAAAAAAAACCTGTCACCTATCAGTGTCATGCTTTCTACCTGACACAGTCTAGCTCTTTAATGAAAACTTCACCACTTTATTTTTCTTTGATATGAAAATGTTTAAATTCTTTCATCCAGGAAAAGAATTCATCCCCTGTAATGCTCCTGTGTGTGTGACTTAAAAGGGTTATGATGCCGGTACACACTTTTGTGGCAGGCCCAAACAGCAGTGAGGCACACAGAGTTATTGGGTTAATTCTCAGTTTCTTCATTTAATGAGAACTGTAGGGAGCTTGTTGTTCCGCTGGAAAGATTGAGTACGTTAATTTGCTTAAAGAATTAAGGAAAAGTTTTGGAATATGTTAAGTCAGACGTGTTTCCAGTTGCTGTTTTCTTGAGTTACAATCAGTTTTTGTTTGTTTGTTGTTGTTTCAAGACAGGATTTCTTTGTGTAGCTCTGGCTGTCCTGAAACTTACTCTATAGACCAGGCTGGCCACAAACTCAGAGATCAGCCTGCCTCTGCCTCCCAGTTGCTGGAATTAAAGGAATGAACCACCACTGTCTGACTAAATTCAAGATTTTTAAGCTAAAATGTTTCAAAACAGAGTATATGATGTTTAAAATGAAAGCAAATGTCCATTTGTTCTATTACTCTTTGTGGGAGTCCTCTCTGAAGCAGGGCCACACAACGAGAACCTAAACAAACAGAAAACATTAGATGAGAGATACGTTAAAATCTATTTTAGGGACTAGAGGGGTGTCTCGGTGGTTAAGAGTACCTGATGCTCTTCTAGACGATCCTCATACCCATGTACTGCAGCTCACCACTGCCTGTGACTTCAGTTACAGCCAATCCAAAGTCCCTTCTGTACCTGCACACATGTAGCATACACTCACACAGAAACATGCACATAAATCAGGATAAACCTTAACATTCTATGTTTAAACAGCTTCCCAACAAGATTGTTGTACTTTATGCCTTACAAGTGTGTGTGTGTGTGTGTGTGTGTGTGTGTGTGTGTGTGTGTGTGTGTGTGTGTGTACAAATGTGGGTAGAGAATGGGGGATGAGGAAGAAAAGAAGAAATGATTAAATTAACTTTAGAAGAAAAGGATCCATCCAACAGGCTAGCCTGCCAGCGCCTATTGAGCTGTAGGCCCAGGAATCAGCCACACAGCCCAGGCCCAGGAATCAGCCAATCAGAAGGCTTAAAGCCACATTTCCATAACGATGATTGGCTAGGAGTCTGGAGGCTGGCTGAGCTGCCGGAGGATGGGGGAAGAAAGGCTCTCTTGAGAAAATAGCAGAATAACTCTCTGTTGTTTACTGCATTTTCTCCAAATGATTGTAGCGATTCATCCTGTAGGAAGCCTTGTTTGGAAAACAGAGAAGACACAGTTGTTCCCAACAACCAGAGGCATTTGACGGCCCAGAAGCTGAGCAGGATGGATGTCCTCTTTAAAATTAGGGTGAGGCTCCTGATTCCTTCTAACCAAATACGTGAAGACTGTCTGGGGGATGCACACGGATCATACATCAATAATTAGGGCTTGCTGGTTTTGATGAACACCATTGCTTTATTACATGTGGGTCAACTTTCCGGATTCTGAATAGTGTGAAAATCCTTTTAAACATCCTGAGCATTTTTTTTTAGTTAAGGGTGTTACACCACCCTCAATAACAAAGCTGCCCTGTTTTTCTCTTTCTTTTTTTCTCCTGTAACCGTATATACAGCAATTTTAGAGACGTTTATCAGTGTGTTTCATAATGCTCTCACAAATGTTTATACCTACAACGCTCTGCTCTCAGGAAATCACTGAGAGAGTCTCCCAACAGAAGGACACAAAGAAAGGGATAAGGAATATAATGACTGTATCCAACAGTCTTTTGTCCTTTCCCAACATGGTGGTTTTCTGCTCTCTTGTTTTAAATTCATACTGAGTAGTGACATCTCACCTACAAGTTTTTAAATTTTGTTTTACAAACATCCCCCCCATGGACTCGCTTTCTGGCAACGAGAGACTAACACGGCAATGCAGATTAAGCAGAAGTATTTTGCAGACTTTCCCAGTGACCATTCCTTGGCTGGCTAACAGACCAGCCATTCAGAAGCAATTTTCTTCAGGCTGAAATTATGTGCTGACCGTAGCAGATCACTTCCCATAATAACCCTTCCCCCACCCAGAGCTAAATACAATCTGTCTCCTACTCACTGTAATAACGTGCAAATGACTGTAATTTTGCAGACAAGAAACAGCCCAAAGTGAAACGTGTCTAAACAGAGGTCGATTTGAAAAATCAGGGCTATTACCTAAATCTGTAAAATACATATTGTAATAAAACCAGCAACAGCAATCTCCAATAAGTAGTTCTAAAAAACGCAGCTTGTGTTTTGATCTTCTTCGTGTACCCGGTCTTCACAGGCAGAAAAGAGAATCTTTTCCTAGAAATGGTCTCGTTGCATGGGATGTAAATTGCCTGACTCTGCTAGCTGATCCCAGACCCTGCTAGAGCCCCCGTGCAGACACAGCCCACATCACCCTGACAGTGCCTAGGGCCAAGCTGACATATGATTTCAGACACTTAACACTGACCTACATAGCTGTTCTCCCAATGCAAGCAGTATGAGTGTTTTCCTTAAAAAGAAAAAAAAAAGGGCTGTTTTGCTAGATTCTCTCAAAGTGGAACATGGTAGGCTCAGGCTTCTGCCTTTTCTCCTCTATTAAGGCACTGGAACTGCACAAGAAGACAGGAGTGATTCCAGCATACAGGGAGATGCTACCCCATCTTTCTCTTTCTGTCTTGGTATTGAACCCATGCCCTCAAGCAAGCTAGGCAAGCACTCCACCATGGAGCCATATGCCTAGCTTTTTATTTCTTTACTATTAAAATTCATTGCAATGTTAAATCAATTGATATATTTGCCTTCTACCATCTCTCGTTGTTTAAGCTAAGCTATATTACGAAGAGCTGTCAAGACGGCACGATTCTCTCTGTCTTTTGTGAGTCGACTTATAAGACCTTAGGCTAAAATGAGTGAGCAGGACATAAAGCCACCTGAAAAGCTAATGGAGCAATGTTAGAAGATTGGGAGAGGATTTGTGGGATGTCTATCAGACATGTGTTCTTCCAGCAGAGAATACCATCAGGTCTTTCTTCCCTCACCTCTCTCTGTCTCTCACCTCCCCCCTACCCCTCATCTCTCACTACCAAGGACTTGAGATGGTTCTGTATACAAAATCTTTTTATCCCCTTGGCACTTTCTTTTGGTCCAAGTTTACTTCAGAATAATGTAAAACATCATATGTTTGACCAAAGATTGCTTGGCTCCTTTTGATGAAAATTATTCAGAGATAGATATTGCTAAAAGTGCTCAAAGGGAACTTTAGCTGGATTTAGCGTGTGGGTGTAAAAGGGCAGCAGTTTTTTGTTTTGTTTTGTTTTGTTGTGGGTTTTTGCTGTTGTTGTTTTGTTTGCTTTTTTTTTCCTTAATAGCTCTTTAACAACTAGGAGCAATTTTCTGTAGGCAAAAAGAGTGAAGACCTTCTAATGTTTGTATGTTTCATTAATCAACCCTGTATTCTCTAGAAAAGAACAGGTCACCTGCCCACTGCCTTCAGGCAGACCTCTGATTAAGGGCTCCAAGCAGATAAGAATCTTTCCCGATAGTCTTATTGGGTAGCCAATACATTTCTCATTATATCTAAATTAAATTCCTTTTCCTACAAATTAAGTTCACTTTTACATAGAATCCATGTTTTAGGATCTCCCTTTCTAGTTCTTCTCTTGGTCTTGAGAGCTCCCAAGAACCGCCAATTGTGTGGTGTGTGTAGATTTAGAAAAGCATCCACTTGTTTCCAAGTAAATCAAAACTCTAGAAATTATGTCTGGCACATTCCTATAATCCTACCATTTGGAAGAGAGAGGATATCAAGTTCTAGGCTAGCCTGGGCTACCTAGTGAAATGTTCATTTAAAAAAAAAAAAAAGAAGGAGGTAAAACTGATTTCTGGCCCTTAATAATACACCCCCAAACAGAAGAAAGAGTCACAAAGACCACCTTGATTTTCTGTGGTGCTACTTGAAGCCTTTGGCCTCCTCTTGGGCTCTTTGTAGATAAAAAATAAAAAAGCCGAAGCAAAGTCTCTCCTGTCAGGATCTGTCCACCTCCTTGCTAATGATGTATCACATGGAGTGCTGAGCTGATTTGGGGGCCCACAGAGGGGTATGGTGGCTGCCATGGCAGGAAGGATGACACACTTTAATTCCCTCCTTTGCACTAACCTCATGTTTCCCCCAGCCCTCAATTCTGAACACTGCTCTTTTCCCCAGACATCTCCTCTCTGGGTAGACACCCAATGAAACATAAAATTACAAAGTGCACGTGTTGAAAGAGTGTACTGGTGTAATCAAGGAAATGCAGTTAATGCTGCTCGGGACAGCAACACTCCCTGGTACATTACCTTGATAAGAAATATGGGTAATAATGAAGAAGAGGTCAAGAATTTGAAAGGGAACAGAGGGCACAGGAGGAGTTGGAGGGGCAGAACATAAGGGTGGCCATGATGTAAATGCCATACTCGTGTATAAAACTCTCAAAAAGATTAAATTGAATAAAAATAATCAAGATGAAATATTTCAGCTCTGTAAACAGGACCAAGCTTCCCAACTCTGTGAGAGTACCTCCACTCCTCAAAGCTGCTAGCTCATTGTCTTTCCTTCAGTGTTCTATTAACTGGGAGTCCTCTGATGCCTCCTGATTGTCCCCCCAACCCTTGTCAAACAAAAGAAAACCAAAAACAAAACAGCCGTCTGGTCTGTTCAAAAGTTGCCTGGAAGAGTTTGGGAGGTGGGAGAGATGAGGGTGGAGGAAATACAGGGCTGTGGGAATGCTAACATGGAAAGAAAAAGGCTTTAATTTGCCAAAATAATTTGAATCCAATCTGTAGTCACGTTGGGCATAAACCTTCGTCTTTGGCCAATGGTGTTTAAGGTTTAAGCTTGGGTGTCGAAGTCAGGGTTGGGTTCAGTTCCACATCTTGGATGGCTCCGTTTTGGATCTGGTTATATTAAACCTGTGGTTCGACTCGGTGATGTCTTTAGTAAGTGGATGTTTTGAAAGAGCTTTCCTCTCCCCGGTGTCACGAGATGATAATGTTTAAATACCCAGTGAAGTGTTTTTTTGTTTTAAGAGATAAGCATTGATTTTTCCAAACAATTATAATATATGGGGGAGCCATACCCTGAAATGGAGACAACACCCCAGGGAGACAGGAAGTGCACACACAAGCCTGTGCTGTTCTTTTGAGGAACTGCACTTCTAAAGGAAGGTAAGACTCACCCTGTAGTGCTGGGCTGTTACCCAGCAGCCATACACAAATGCAAAACCTGGACAGTCAAACACACGACACAAACTTCAGAGCTAAAGTGGAAGATGAATGGACACCAGACATCTAATTTGCCCCAGATTATTTGTTAATGCACAGCTTCATTATTGGAGTGAAAAGGAGTCAAGGCCACCCAAGCCCTCCTATAGATCGCTTTGCGTCTTACTCTAATAAAGGTCAGAAATTGCTGTTTGTTAATGTTTGCGACATCAAGTCTAGTTCATCTAGGGCGGTGAAACAACACATTGGCATTTTTTTAATGGACTAAATATATTAAAAACACAAACATTAGTCAATAGCCATTACTTATAACATGTGGCATAAATGTTTTTATTGATCCACAAAGTCGCCACCAAACATTTACATCATAGCTGTCTTCTGCCAAAGGTAATTTCCTCTGTGTGCCTATTTGCCTACGCTAAGGCACATCTAAAACTCCAACTGTCTGGTGAAAAAAAAAATCCCAATAACACCCACTCCCTCAAACTTGGGGTTTTAATAGGTTTACTTAAAATTCATAGACTAAGTGACTTTAAAATCTCCATATTCTAGCTCCTAAAATAATTGACAATAACAACACAAAGTTAAAAATAAACCGTGTTCTAAAGGCTTACTATGTAAGACTACATTAGCTTAAATATATTAACGAGTTGTTATTTTACAATAGCCTCTTGTCCTGGAAAATGAGTCCCATTAACTTGGCTGCGTTTGTCTTACCATAAAAGTGAGAACATTTTGTATGTTTGTGGTTTGTGGACACAGCATTCAGAGAATTTAGGATCTCTGCCCGCTCCAGAATTAAAGAATTGAGAAAAGAATTCTGACAGATAATCCAGATGGTTAAAAGTTAAGGACAGAGCATGTTTAAGGGTTTAATATGCCTAGTATATTTTATCTTTCACAAATGGATTTATTTTTTTAATAAGGCTGGTCTGGGTCCTTATTTTATATTTATTTATCTAGTCGAGTCACAGAAGATCAGGTGGAGAAATTTGTTGCTAATTTAAGAGAGCCATTCATTAGGTTGGCTCAGTGGCCATCGGGGTCCACACGTTAGTGCTCGCAGACCCAAAGCATGGAAACAAAAGGGTTACTTGTTCCCCTATCACTGGACGCCCCTAGTTGATTTTTCTGAGAGAGAGAGAGAGAGAGAGAGAGAGAGAGAGAGAGAGAGAGAGAGAGAGAGATTTTGAGAAGCACGAATCTTAAAAGTTCTTATTGAAGGCTGAGAGGCAGAAGCTGCAGAGCTGGGTTA